CTCAACCTGCTGAGGGTGAGTATGGAGCTATGAGAGAAGGCTGTTCCTTTGTGAGAGTATGTTCTAGTGTTTTTTTTTTTTTTTGTATTACTAATGATAGTTTGCTTCTCAGAAATATAAGGTAGTTATTTGATGTCGATGTTTGTCATCTACAACATGCATTATCATGAATTATCACCACCATAAAGTATATCAATGCAGCAGAAAATATGTCATCCATTTCTTATTTCTCAAGATTAATCATGTACATGCTGAAATCAGTAAGGCTTGTTCTCTCAACCCATCTACAGGATTCGAGATATCTGGTTTAAGAGTAATATGACAGAAGTAACTTCATGCCGGTAATTTTTATAACAATTTCATCTGCAACTATTGTTTTATGTAGTGCTAAGCAAGACATGCAATACCGTACCGTACCGGTGTTTCGAGGTTGGCTCGGTATGGTACGGTATCGGCATATCGAGTGGTACACCAAGGCGTACCGAACAGTACACCAGGGCTTACCGAGCGATTTCCTCTTACTGCTACAATGTAACACTGTAGCATTGTAGCACGGTCCGTTCGGTAGCAGGCGGTCCACGTACCGGTATGTCGTCGGACCGATACGTACCGCCCATACCGAGCGGTACCATTCGAAATTGCATAGCATGGTGCTAAGTTCAATGGGGCCAACTACCGCCACCGTATCAACTTGATAGGCAATTTTATCTCGTCAATTCAATTACTTACAAAGCTTGATATATTGTGTGTATATTTATATATGTTACATCGTTGAATAACAATCTCCTTGGATTTTTAATTAGTTTGTACATATAAATTTTATATTAACACTGCTTTGTATTTCATTTTTGTACAGGTCACTATGTATCTAATGTCTGTCACATTGACCTTTCATCAATTTTGTTAAGAGCTGCATTTTATTTTATGATTCTTTTCCTCTAGAATTAGAAATGAATAAGAGATTCTAGTCATGGATTAATCAGCAATGTAAGAAGAGGACAAAATACTGAAGCGACTTTTACTGAAGATATAATAATTACCTCTCAAAGAGTGGACAAGCAAAAAAGTATGCTTTCTATATATACTACAACATTTGAGCATATTAGATAGCATTAAAAAAAATACATGAAGAAATTATGGTAAAACGAGATAAATTTTAGTTTGCTTTTGTATGTGTTCTTGATCATAAATGAATCGAATGCCAATAAATATGTATTTATTAGCATGAGATTTCTATTTCTTTCTTCTACTTATTTATATTTTTCATTTCATATATGGAGGCCGAAACATCCCCTTTTTTTTTCTGGCTATCAGAGGCTTATGTTTACCACTTTGACCTTGAGATAATTTGGTGAAAACTCTTCACCTTTTGATTCATCTTATATACGCTAGTGTATCCATGTATGCAATCAGAGGCTTATCTTAAAATAATAATTCTATAGAATAATAAAATGGTTGCAAAATCTGGTTTAACAATTTGGTCAGTGGCAAATTATCATGTATTATAAATGTAGTTATTTTTTCCTGCTTTCAAGTGTCAATTCTCCAGATTTTAATTATCTAACTCACTAAACATGATTGCTACTGTCACCGAGCTAATGGATGGAAGGATTAGGGAACAGAGAGAACATAAATAAAAGATTGATAAAAGAACTCAGATTTGAAGAAAAGAGTGGGAAAAGTATGCCTTATTGTCTATTACATAATCTCTATTTGTACCAATTTGTCTTGGAGAATGTATTTGAGCCTATGTTTTTACATGTTTTTGGTATCCCCTTCTATCCTTTCGCTACCTTATCTTGTCTTTCTCTTTTAATTTTTTTAATGTTGCTGACTTTCTAATTGAACTACCAAAACTGCTGGATAGTGCCAAATCATGGGCAATGATAAGGTCTATGTCCTTTTATGTGTTGAGGCTAATTCAAAACAAAAGAAGTCATGAAAGGATAGAGAAACAATGACTCTTAAATAACGCATTAAAAAGGTGTGAATGGATCATGTTGGGATCAAATTAGTCGGATAAAGGTTCATGTAGATGCTAAATACTGTTAAAGTAATGTCATATTCTTTCAAGATGGTAAATATCAAAGGAGTTTGATGCAAGTTTTAGTTACTCTTCAAAATTATGCTCATTATTGTTTTTAATTTTTTGAATAAATGGTTTTACGAGATAGTTTTCGTCATTTTCATGTATGTCCTAAACTTTTGCACTTCTCCCATTACATAAGCGGCATATGAGAAAATATCATCTCTTCACTTTTTCATGGGTCTTTGATTTTGTTTGCATCTTTTATTTTAAACTTAGATTTATACATGTTCTAGTCAATTGAAAATTCTTAATAATGCAATTAGCTTATGTGCTTTTGATATGTATTAGAAGAGTTTCTAAAGCTTTTGTAGGATTCAGAATTAAGTGAATAACATTTTAAAGATATGAGCTTTAAAAGTTAAGACATCATTAGTTTAGTTTTAATAGGATATGTGGTGACTGATGTATTAAGATGGCAATTTAACCTATAAATGGATATATTTTACACTAAAATTTTGTATATATTTAGTTTTAAATATCTTTTAGGTTCTTGTAAAATTTTATGGTCATATAAGACAGTTTGACCATAAATAGTTGTGAAGCAAGATTACTTCACTTTATTGTGTAGTTGTATGATTTGAACAACTATGTCATTTGGTTATAGATTGAGTTTTTGGTGCATTAGTGTTGAAATTTAAATGAATTTGTAGGCTGGGTGTATTCTATTTTAGGGGAGATTCTACCAAAGATTTCCTTGAAATTATAATTTATATTAAGAGTTATATGCATCTCAAAGATGTAAGTTTCTTCATTTAGACATATCAAGACCATGTATTCAAAATTTGATGTTTACTGCTCCCTATTTCATGTGGCCACTACTGAGAATTATGGTCCTTTTTTTATACTACAATTTTGAGACAAATCAAGTATATTTTTAATTTATCTAAAAATAATGGTCATATATATTGTGTATTGATAATATATTTTCAAATTTTTGTTTTGAATGATATGATAGTTACGAGCTAAGTGTAATGTTAATTTATACATTGCATAAGCATAGAAATATATGAATTATAGTAAAAATATATTACACATATAAAGTGTGACATGTAAGGGTATATGTTATAACGTACAATATAAGAGTTCTATATATATTATGACATATGATGTGAGATTGCACATGTGTATTATAACTTTCTCTTGTATATACTATGACTTACTTTTGCACAAATGTGTTATAACTTACTTTAGATCAATGTTTTATATTTTTATATGTGCCATGTTATGGAATTCTATATCAATAAAGTGGTTATAAGATGATATTTTACCATTAGTTAAGCATATGATTTTAAATTATTACATAGATGACATGATGATAGATACTCGTATATATAAAATTATATAGGTTTATACTAATGGACTTATCATTTGTAGACTTTGTTTGCAGGTAAGGATACTAATAATCCACTTAAGTGTTAAGTGATAGGTTGTGAGACGAGTATATAAGACCCATGTCAACACAAGTATAGATAACTACCTATCAGATATATAAATTTTGGATAGGATATGCGTATTTGGTTGTTGTTACTTATGTGTCTAACATATGTCTAGCTATCAACACAACACTGTATAGAAAAGACTATGCTATCTTGTTTAGTAAGCTAAACATGTATCAAATTTATCTGCTTTCCCACTATATTGTTGATCATATCATAACTAAATTGTAAAGTGACATCTTCTTGTAGTCACATATGTATGTAATACTTGAAATTAGGCGAAGGGTGTTGCATTAAGCATTACATCTTTTATAGTATCAGTGGGAACAAACCTATCCGTTTCAGGCTTATTGAGTTTATTTCTATGTATGCGTAGCCTTATATACGTGAATCGTAGAGAGGATGGATCCTAGGTGGCCTTATATTGCCCCACACGCTCCTAGAGTTCACCATGCAAACTCAAATAATGAACCTCCCCTAATTCCTCAACCTTCATAAGAGTAGACTAATCTTCTTAAGCTTTAGATGTTTATAACTGATGATACTATTGATTATAAATAAGGGTATGTGTAGTGTGCGAGACTCCTAGAGACATAATTAAGTACGTTTCAAAATAGATAGTTTGTCAACAAGTGAGGACTAAACTACAAGTATCTATTGAAAAATTATAAAAAGTGTCTATTCCAATTTATTTATACTTTTGATGTCTTATAAAAGATTTCATAAGTTGCATATATATATAGTCGCCATGCTACAAACTTGCATACATACACAATGTTGTGTGTTAGTAGTCAATGTGGATACATAGACAATGTGTCAGTACTCCAAAAGTAAATTGGTAGCCAACCTAGATTTGGAAAGAAATAAACATGATCTATGGAATAAATTCGTTATCAATATCATACGGAGAATGAAGCCACATGGAAAATAGAATATGATGTTAAAAAGAAGGTCAATCAAATTTGGGGACCAAATTTCAAAGGAAGAGACATAAAAATGTAATCACCGTAGTTTTCTTATGAATTTGAAAAACCATAAGTGATATGCACCTCATCATCATTATTTGCCATCTAATTTTTCATAGAATACATCTAATCATTTAGCATTTATTTCCTACTTATAAATACCTTAGTAAAAAAATAACTAATTTAATTTTTGTTTCAATAAAAATAATATGGAATGCACTTTCCTACGTCCGTTGAGATCTTCCTCATCTCCTATATAATTCTTGACGAACACCCCTCGCTTTGAGAGGAATTTGACTGATGATCTTCGATGGAAGACTAAGAAATGTTACACTTTCAAGAGATTGTAAGTTCTCTGTTTTTTATTTTAATAATAAAATTATTGCTTGATATCTTCTTGGTTTAATATTTCACAAAAAATTGATCTTCATCAATTTTATATATTCAATAAAAATTATTTATATATATATATTAGCATCATTAATTTTAAATAATTGTTTTAAAATTTTATATTATGAAGTAAAAAATTTATAAATGATATTTAATGATGTTCATGTCTTTACGTAATATATTAAATTATTTAGCATCAAAGAAAATTGTTTATATTTTTAAATTTTAAAAATATTTAAATTATGATTAAAGACAAAAATAAAAGTGAAGGGGGGAATGATGGTTGGGTCCGATCGGAGTAGGCCCAGTTTATGCTTCTATCCTGGATTGGATTGGACGTGGGCTCGGGCCTGATGCTCACCCAATCTAGCATGGTGGGGCCAAACCACCAAACACCAACTACGGTCGAACCCAACTCAACTTAGCGTTGAGTTACGGTGGGGTCATGCTTGTGGCCCAATGTGATGACTCAGCAACCCCACAAGTTCCAGCGTAACTTGGTGTGGCCAAATGCGTGCGACTCGACATGGCTTGCATGACCCAAGCAACGATCCAATGGCATCGCTATGGGGTGAAACCCAAACTATTCTGGTTTGAGTTGGTTCGAGTTGGGCAATTAATGATCAGTGCAGCTTGAATCCAACCAACCAAGTTCAACTTGATATCAGGCCATCTCATTAAGATATTTTATTTTTAATGAATTTTAACACTTGTTAGAGGTTAACCAATTGTTTAGTTTAATCATCAGTTGAGATTGAAGATGATATTATGAGGTATGTATTTAAAAAAAGATTTTTGTTATATATATATAGATAAAAATTATATTCCCTTCTTGCATATGAATGATGCCACTGCATTCACTTCACTCAGTGTAATAAGTACTCTATCCCATGGATTAAAGTCTCTTCATCTACATGGATAGAATATATTATTAAGTGTTCGACCTATGCTACTGTAATAAAAGAATGATAATGGATAATTATGTGTATGAGAATTCTGTATGTTTGAAATGTGCTATAATGATAGAAATTTGAAGGTTCAATTTTTTATATTTGTTGGACTTTTTAGGACTACAGGGAGAAAGAAAAGAAATTTTTGTCTCTGGATGTTCTGAATTGTAAGGTCATGTCTAAAGCGAAGAACACGGAGACGACGGACCTTCCATCGGACCTCTTCATGGAGATACTATCATGGATCCCTGCCAGGGCCCTCTTGAAACTCCGGTGTGCATGCAAATGCTGGTATTCCATAACGACGGACCTCGCCTTCGTCCGACTGCATCACCAACAACAGCAACTCCTCCCTCGAGTTACTTCCGTCCTCGCATTTCACCGACACTTTACCGACGATGTATCTCTCTTGTCTCGTCTGGATGTAGTCGATGCAACGTGGGTCGCAAGGGATGTCGCCGTCTGGCACAGCCGCCCACTGCTGGTCGTATCACCTCCTTGCCATGGATTATTTTGCCTCTACCACGTCGACATGGACTTCGACGTTTGCCTGTTCAACCCCACCACCCGCAAAAGCTTCTCCTTGCCGCATAATTTTACCAGCGTCAATATAATTCTCTCAGACTTTTGCTTAGGATATCATCCGGTTTCAAGACAGTACAAAGTTATCCATACGTTCTGCACCCGATCGACCTCGTTGGTGATGGAAGTACTGACTGTCGGCGGAAGTACATGGAGGAAGGTGGAAGTGAGCAGCGCTCTCGGTATGCTTACGATGTTAAACAGGGGAAGACCGAGTGCAACTGGAACAATGTATTGGCTTGGACAAAGGAACCTCTTGGAAGACGCTATTCTCTCTCTTGATCTAGAAAATGAAAGGATCACAGAAGTTCCTTTTCCGGATATTGAACCCCAACATGAGAGCGGTAACAACTCATTGATAGAGATGGAAGGCACCATTCATTTCGCTGTCCATTGGTTCACCATGGTAGACTGGATGGATATTTGGATGTTGCAAGAGTCGGGTGCCCACCGAGTGTGGATCCATAAGTTTCATCTCCGTCTGTGCGCATTGCCGAGGGGAGTAGGCCAGGTGGAGAGAGTATTACGTCCTCCTACGCCTCTTCTCATAAACCAGGGCAAGATTCTGATAAGCGACTGCCGAAGATTAGTGTCCTACGATCTGGCGGGCAAGGGCTTCCAGCATGAAGTGGTCTTTCAAGCTTACGATGATTTCTTTCCTTTTGTCATCGTCGAAAGCCTTGATTCATTTTAGAATTTGATGCATAGCTATCTCTTGCTGCGGGTCCTTTTGATTCTTTTTCTTGTTTTTTTATTGATTTAATTGTTAAGTAGATGGATCATGCAAGTTTCTGGATCAGTCATCATAATTGGATTCTCATGCCTTTGTGCATGCTTTATATTTGGACTGAAGTGAAGAGGTTTGTTCTTACTTCTCTATTTGGCCTAATATATATATTGTTTACTGCATTTTGGAATAGCTTGTCAAACGAATCAATGCTTTCAGAGATCCTCAAACTTAAACGCTCATTCTATAATTCTATATTTAAAATATTAATCTGATGTTGATGTACTAAACTCATTTATAAGTGTTAAGGATTTAAAATCTCATCCAAAATATTTTTTGCTTACATTGTAAAAGATTTAACTACTGATAACATCTTGGGATCAAATCCCCTCTTGATTGTTTACTTCAAATAAAAAAAATAGAATTCAAAACTTTATATATAAATGATAAATGAAGCACAATGTTTGAGGATTTATTTTGGTGTTTAAGAGGATCATATAATTATCAAGCTAAATGCTGTGCTTTAATACACCCTTAAAAATTCCAAGGTTGGAACTTGGAAAACTAAAGGAAGATGAATTTTGTTGTCACAAACATTTAATGCAACACTTGTTTCTCTCTCTCATTAGTGAACGAGAAGTTGATGGTCATCAATCCTTTCGTGATAGAATGGTTCTTGGAAACCAACTTCATTATTCTTCAGGTGTGTAATAAAAAAGGAAAAAGATTTCAAGCCTACAATGAATGTCTCAATTTTATAATAACTATAATTTTTTAGTATGGTGCCAATTTATGATTTGTTGTAAAAAAAAAAAAGAAAATTCCAATAGAGATGTTTAGCGATTAATAGATGATTGATTTAGTTATGAGGTTCTTTGTTTAATCAAATAAACAAGAAAGAGTCTTACTAATTAAGGTTGCATATGTATTAGTTTTGAGTTTTTTTTTTTTTCTCAAAGTAGATTTTAATGATACGCAGAGTCGCCCAATAACTCTACAACAAATGTAACCAAAACAATCAACTCCCAACAACTCATATAATTTGTTTCGATGTTGCTAACTTAAAATGGATTTCTTGGCTCGACCTAATCAACTCCCAACAATTCATATAATTTGTTTCGATGTTGGTAACTTAAAATGGATTTCTTGGCTCGACCTCACTATATCCCATGGTAGACGCCTCAAATTATTATTGGATAAAAAAATGAAAGACACCTTAACATCGTATGGCCTCTCTTGGTGTCACATGACTAACATCTTAACATCATATGGTTGACACCTTAACCTCAAGTTGAATAGATTGAATATTATTATCTTGGATTCAATATATCATAATTAAGTCTAGGAAAGGAACACCACCTCCAGAACTAGCATTGACCGCGGGAGTAATGATAGTAGGAGCTCACTATAAAAGAGCTCCTTTGAGAATGTGCTTGGAAGACATACCTCTTTCTCCTAAGAGTATAAGTTAAATCATCTTCATCTATTTTAACTTGGGTAATAAAAGGGTATCGTTAAAAATACTCTGATAGAGTTTTGCACGGTTCTACATAATTAGAGTGAGACAAGAATAATGTCAAAGAGAGACCTTGATCGGCTCTAACTCAGTATCCAACTCGAACAATTACTTAATAATATTATATTTCAACCTTTCACTATACACAAATAACATCTTAATAGTAAATTTATAATTTATTTTATAATATTTTAGGTCTATTTAAAAAAATCTTTAATATGCATATTATAAATATTAGATTTGATGAAAGATTTTTTGAAAATAAATATGCTAAATAATGATATAAGAGGACAATTGTTCCCTTTCGAAGAATAGACTAGTACCGATATTATTATTTTTGGATGAGTAGCATGTAATGGTATCAATACCAATAAGATTTTTTTTTTGAATCTTAATAATACAATTAAATTTATCGAATATGTTTATAATTTTTTTGTGAGACAATTGATTTAGTTGTCTTAAATACATAAATTTGGATAATAAGCTATTTAAATCATATTTTTATTAAAAAAAATTAATGGGAATTACGACGTTGTAGGGTTTATAGCTTTCCGGTGGATTGGGGGGCGTTGCAAGCAATGCATCAATCCCCAATTGTTTTTGAGGCTCTACTAAGTCTACTGAACTTATTTATGCCACTGCAAAGCAAACAATACAAGACAGTCTATAAACAACTACACCTGTAGGTATCTTACGGGGGTTACTTCGAACTACAAGTACTACTGCTGTAACCTATTCATCCAAAGAAGAGAGACGAGTCTTCATGAGATGTTCACTACCAATCACAGTTGTGGAAGCACACAAGCTAAAATAATCAAGCCAAACGATCCAACTATGTGGTGTCTCTCTATTTGTTGTTCTCGAATGGCCGGCAGGCTCAGGCTTTCATATCTGTACTTTGATCTAGTAGGACCATGGATCGATCAGCTCACCCACCACGCAGCCATTAAAATGCTTTTGGAGAGCACCAAGCACTAGTGTGGAGCTGAGCAATGGAATCTGCTTATCTCATCATCATCATATGGTGGATTTTCCAAATCTTGCTTGATTAATCTATAGGAATAGCAAGTCTTTGTACCCAATTCTTCCATCCACTCTCCATATTTAATCCCTACCAACGCAAAAGAAAGTTGGGTGAGGTGGGTGTTAAGACAACCAAATCCTGGAATCGGGGAAGATGATTCAATTCCACTTCTGCATGGTGCATGGGAGACAATGAATTGACGTCCATGGAGTTCAACCCGGCAACCTCATGCTATTCTAATGCTGCATCACTAAGAAAAAGGCAGATTTGTACATTAATGAATTGTAAGATCAGACTAGAAAAGAGGAGACACAGATTTATATGGGTCCCTAATTGGATCCAAAGTGATGGACAATTCAGCTAGCTTTCAGCAGAGTTCATAGGGAAGAACAGAGAGTAGTGCTCGGAAAGAAGGCCAAAAGCTGCAACTCCAGAGCTGAGAGGTGATGATTAGGCAGTGGATTGCTTCGACCTGTGCTTATTTCACACTGTTTACTGATATTTTGGGGGAAGAACATAAAAATTCTGAAGCTTTCCTAAATCTATCATATTTATGAATTGGCTAAACCGATATCGACAGACACGACCAAAAGAAAAAGAAGATTGAAATAATGAGTGGCGACATATTCCATCATATAGACAGCATCTAAACGATAAAAGAATTGAACTGCATCATCATATACGACTATCTTGACCATGTTTACAGTGAAACCAGTGGTTTTGTTTAGTTCAGGGGGTGCTCAAAGAACATTTGATTGCGGTGGAAGCTCAGGCTTCATGATCATGCATTATGATAAATTCAGAGCAGTAAATGGGACATGTAAACAATAAACTGTCAGAATTCAGATCAGTCTCTAAGAAAAATGTGAACATAACAATCTAATTTTAGTAGAATCTGCAGAGGAATATATCCTAACCTCCGTCTCTAAACTGATCCAATCTGATGCAAAAATAAGTTATCGGATGACAAATTCCTGTAATGTTTTCTCTTCTTAGGAAGTTGCATTAAATCTCCTGACACAAGCATCATACAACAGTAGATCTTTGGTAAGTGTATGTCACGTGAAGAACAGCTAACTAATGCTTAATCTACAAAGCTAAGCAAGCTTCCTATCTGCATGTGCTCTGACATGATCTTACTCCTAAATTAATCCATGAAGACTTGGAACTTTTGCCCTTTAAGCACTTTGTTCGTCGAGGCCAAGTTAGTTCTTTCCTTTATGCTTCTTTTCTTTTGGTCTTACCATTACAAGCAGTGGAAAACAGAAAGTACTCTCATCCTTTACAGTATATTTTTTTCAAGAGAGCATGAAATATAGTATAAGCATCTGAAGCATTTGGTCTTAGGACTCCTTATTTTTATCTGAAGCATCATGGAAAGGTCTATAAGACTGCTTATTGTAGAAGTTTTATATCCTATTTGTTGACCAAAAAATTAGTTCAGATTTTTTTTTTTCCTTTTGGTCTATCCAGAAGTAAGAAGTTGAATTGTATTTCTTGTGATTTAAGTGTACCATGCACTCAATTGCAACCTATCATGTCTTCCTCCCATGAAAGTGAATAAAAGAAGAACAGCAATCTTTGTTATTCTTCTTCAACTTGTAATAAGTTTGATTGCTCAAAGGAGAATTTACTTCAAGAAATTGAAATATATAATCATTAGAATCCATGCTAGGGTTAAAAGGAAAAGGTTGAAAGAGAGACTGTTGACCTAATATGATGTGGAGCTTGTGAGAGAAGGTAAACATTTTATGTTCCCCTGTTCATGTCAGTGGCTATTTATTCTCTTACAACTTTGCTACTGCTACTGTAAAAGGAAGTGCATGCACAGATTCCTGTAAGAGGAGGTTCTAAACAGCCCGTGTCAGAAGGTGAAGAGAAAACTAGGAGAACTGGATGCGAAGAACATGCATCACACCTTGGCAAAGGGACAATCTCTGCTTAATAAAGCCAACCATGTTTCATCACCACATGAGCTTCTCACCCCCCCCCATGATATGATCTGCTTTGTCTTCAGTCATTCTCCCTCTATAGATTTCCTCTTTGTTCCCATGATGCTTCCATCTTGATTCCAGAAACAATATGCCTCTTGTGTGTCTGTCCCCAAACATGTCTTTGTTCAGCATGTGAAAGCACTTGTGATCTAATCTTCAGTCATGTTATGATCTCACAATCTATGATCCACATATAAGTTCCAAGTTGACATGAAATCCGATAAATGTGCCGGTTGCACAGCTAGGCGCATATAATGAAAATAATACAACCTAATCTTCACAATCTGAGTGGTGGATCTGTGAATGTTGAACCTAATTGAACTTGTCCTTCTCAATATTGTACCTTGTGAACATTATGCAGTGATCTGTCAATGTCTGACCCCATTTGAACTTGTCCTTCTCACTATTGTAGCTTGTAGAATTTGATTGGCAATGAGCAGATATCTATAATGCAGAGTGTACACAAAGCATAATGATGATCATCAGGACCAATAAGAATCCATAGTTTTTGATAATTGAGACACAAGTTTTCCATAAAATGGCTAAACCACAAATCTAGTTCAGATCTAAAGTTACAAAGTTGAGACAGAAACTTTATCTAGGGTGATTATTTGGGCTAATGGACATCAAACCCCACCAACATTGTGCTCTTTAACTATGCCATATGGTAATGACATGGATGGGCAAAGATTAAAATAGAGCAGAGGCACCATATTATCCTTGCAAACCCTTCCACTCAAAGACATGTTCATGTTCTTGGCTTTCCTTTTGTTACTTTCCAGCAATTGCTGCTAATTTTTTTTAGGATCAACAGTAACCTTCTCCTCCCTCACTAGCATGTGCATTGGGAGATAGATTCCTTCACTTGCTCTTCTTATTAGAGTTCATCTTCAAACTGAGAGCCAGCTCAGTAGATGTCTTTTGCTCTATACTTCACACCACAAGAACACAAGCAACCTATGTAGGTCTAACTGGCAATTTACTTAAACCAGCTGATGGTTGAAAGACCTTTCCATTTCCATAAGCAATTATGAACAACTATGCTCTTATTATTTGATGAACTAAGAGCTCTAGATTTCAAGCAGTATATTAAAGGTTAATTTTTTTCTCTAAAAAATGCTTTAATTCATTATAAAGATAACAGTGGAAAGAATAATGTGTTCAGGGGAGATTGAAATACCAGCCATCTTTCAAGAAGATGAAACAAAGAGTACAATGATGTTTGCTTGAGAACAGAGAGGAAATGTCACTGTTATGAGTTTAAGCTAAAAAGAAAAAGTAGAGGTTGCCAACAGTGTCACTAAATGGACAAGAAATCTAGGGAAAATATAACCTCAAGTTGATAGATGACAGTAACCCCAACCATCCTGCCTTCCACATTATCCCCACCCAGCCATCTAAAACTCCTCAGCATATAACTCCAAAACCTCATCCCATAAACAAAACCATGCCCCCGTCTCCGTCCATCCCTCAATCAGAACAACAGCAATGACACAGAAAAAAAATTAGAAAAGCTAACATGTTCTTTGGATCCAGATCTCCTGCTTTTCTACTATAAACAAAACATGGGGTCTCCCCCTCTACAATCCCAACACCCACTGACCATCTCCTCCCCTCCCTCCCCTTCCCTCCCCTCCCCTCCCCTCCCCCAATCCCGACATGGGGTTGCCTTCAAACATACGTGCCATCTACAGGAGCCCCACCATCTTCACCTCCCTAATTCTCTTGCTCACTGCAAGCTCTCCCTTCTTCTTCTCCTTCTGCCTGGCCATTGATGAACAAGGTTTAGCTCTGCTGTCATGGAAACGCAGCCTCAACAGCTCCACAGACGCACTCAGCTCGTGGAAGCCATCGGACCCCGATCCATGCAAGTGGTTTGGAGTTTCCTGCAACTCCAAACTAGAGGTCATCAGCCTGAGCATCACGTCGGTCGATCTGCAAGGCTCATTGCCTTCCAATCTTCAACCTCTAAAGTCCCTGAAGACTCTTGTTCTGTCTGTTACCAACATCACTGGTCCAATCCCGAGAGAGTTCGGCGACTACCGCGAGCTTGCCATCGTCGACCTCAGCAGAAACCAAATCACGGGCGAGATCCCTGCGGAAGTTTGCAAGCTCAGCAAACTCGAGTCGCTCGTTTTGAATTCCAATTCTCTCCAAGGCGCCATTCCTGCTGATATCGGAAACCTCTCCAGCCTCACATACTTGACTCTCTACGACAACTTCCTGAGCTCCGAGATCCCGGCGAGCATCGGGAAACTGCAGAAGCTCGAGGTTTTCCGGTCTGGCGGTAACCAGAATCTCAAAGGCTCGTTGCCCCCGGAGATTGGAAACTGCAGCAACTTGGTCATGTTGGGCCTCGCCGAAACCGGCATTTCGGGGAAGCTTCCCTCAACGATTGGATTGCTCCAAAGGCTGCAAACCATCGCCATCTACACTGCGATGATCTCAGGTACGATCCCGGAAGAGATTGGCAACTGCACCGAGCTAACCAGCTTGTATCTGTATCAGAACTCTCTGTCAGGCCCGATTCCTTTCAAGCTTGGCAAGCTTGAAAACCTTCGGAGTCTGCTCTTGTGGCAGAACAGCCTGGTCGGCTCTATCCCGCCAGAGCTCGGCCGATGCAAACAGCTCGTGCTCGTCGACCTGTCGATGAATCTTCTGACCGGAAGCATTCCCCGGAGCATCGGGAACCTGACCAATCTCCAACAGCTTCAGTTGAGTACTAATCAGCTGTCAGGCCTGATTCCGCAGGAGATTTCGAGCTGTGCTGCGCTGACCGATCTCGAGGTCGACAACAACGAGCTCTCCGGCGAGATTCAAATCGACTTCGCAAAGCTGGAGAACCTCACTCTGTTCTATGCTTGGCAGAACAGGCTGACGGGGAGCATTCCGGCCAGTTTAGCTCAATGTCCGAATTTGCAGTCCGTCGATCTCTCGTACAACAATCTCACCGGGCCGATTCCCAAGGACCTGTTCGGATTGCAGAACCTCACCAAACTGCTCCTCCTGTGGAATGAACTGTCGGGATTTGTACCACCAGATATTGGCAATTGCACAAATCTTTTCCGGCTCCGGCTGAATGGTAACCGGCTCGCGGGAACCATGCCAGCGGAAATTGGCAATCTGAAGAGCCTGAATTTTCTTGACATGAGCAACAACCTGCTTATAGGTCCGATCCCGACGGCGATATCGGGATGCGAGTCCCTCGAATTCCTCGATCTCCACTCCAATGCTTTGACCGGAGGCTTGCCGGAGTCACTGCCAAAGAGCCTACAATTCATCGACGTCTCCGACAACAGGCTCAGCGGACCGTTAAGCGCCGCTATCGGTTCACTGCCGGAGCTGACCAAGCTCATCGCGGGAAGAAATCAGCTCTCTGGTGGGATCCCAGCAGAACTTGGATCATGCAGCAAGCTACAGCTACTGGACGTCGGTGATAACTCTTTCTCCGGAAGGATTCCTGGCGAGCTAGGCCAACTTCCGGCGCTCGAGATCTCGCTTAATCTCAGCTGTAACCATCTCTCCGGCGATATCCCGGCCCGACTCTCCGCCCTCGAGAAGCTTGGATGCCTCGACATCTCCCACAACGAGCTCTCCGGCAACCTCGACGTGCTCGCCGTGCTGCAGAACCTCGTCACGCTTAACGTGTCCTTCAACGCCTTCTCGGGCGAACTGCCCGATACTCCCTTCTTCAGGAAGCTCCCGCTCTCCGATCTCGAAGGCAACCATGGGCTGTTCATAGCCAACGGCCCTGCAACACAAGAACCATCGAGCAGAGCAGCAATCTCCGCTCTGAAGCTCGCCATGTCGGTCCTGATCAGCGTCAGCGCATTACTGCTGCTGACGGCCGTCTACGTGATGGTACGGTCTCGTACCGCCCCTCGCCGACACGCGGACGACACGTGGGAGATCACCCTCTACCAAAAGCTCGACTTCTCGGCAGACGACGTAGTCCGGGGACTGACATCGGGGAACGTAATAGGGACCGGAAGCTCCGGCGTGGTCTACAAGGTCGGGACTCCGAGCGGCGACACGCTGGCCGTCAAGAAGATGTGGTCGTCGGACGAGTCAGGGGCGTTCCGCAACGAGATCGCCGCCCTGAGCTCGATAAGGCACCGGAACATCGTGCGCCTGCTGGGGTGGGGCGCCAACCGGAGCACCAAGCTGCTGTTCTACAACTATCTACCGAACGGGAGTCTGAGCGGGTTCCTTCACCGGAGCGGGAAGGAGCAGGTGGAGTGGGAGACGAGGTACGAGATCATGATCGGGCTGGCTCACGCCATAGCCTATCTGCACCATGACTGCGTGCCGGCCATCTTGCATGGAGACGTCAAGGCCATGAATGTGCTGCTGGGGCCGAGATTTGAACCATACTTGGCGGACTTCGGCCTGGCCAGAGTACTAACCGGTGGTGATACTACACACAAGTTGGAGTCCAAAGCCTGTCCTCGTATTGCCGGTTCCTATGGATACATTGCTCCAGGTATCAATCTGTCTCATCTTTTCTCCCTCGAAAGAACAATGAACAAAATGAGTTCAGAATAGGTTGTGATTGGACTAATTGAAGGGATTGTATCTGATCAGAGTATGCTTCGACGCAACGGATAACAGAGAAGAGTGATGTCTACAGCTACGGTGTTGTGTTGCTCGAAGTCCTAACAGGGAGGCATCCACTGGACCCGTCGCTGCCCGGGGGAATGCATTTGGTGCAGTGGGCGCGAGAGCACTTGCAGAGCAAGCGCGACCCGGTGGAGCTGCTCGACGCCAGGTTACGAGGCCGGCCGGACCACCAGACACAAGAGATACAGCAGGCGCTTGCAATCGCTTCGTTGTGCGTCGGTGCGCGGGCCGAAGACCGGCCGACCATGAAGGACGTGGCTGCACTGTTGAAGGAGATCAGACGGCCGGCGAACGAAGAGCCCAAAGAGTCGGCGGCGGTATCTGCAGCCGCCGCCGCCGCCGCCGCCGCCGCTTCTCCCGTCCGGAATGTGGACTTGGTAGGCTCTTCCAATTGCTCATTTGCAATGTCGGATTACTCCAGCTGAACAAAGACTGCACTGGTAACAGTTTTTGGAATGACTTATCATTCAGTAAAAAGAAATGCAAATCATCATAACTGTACATGTATTTTACTTGCATTTGTGGGATTGCTGCTACTTCAGATACATGTTAATCTTGTCAAATTCACTAGAGTTTTATATCATGAAATGCCGAGGACAGGTGAAGGATGTGTTGAGACACGAGGGATAAGAGATGGAGTTTTCTGTCTTGAAGTCGATCCAATGATTTGGGTTAGAACATTGCCAAGATGACTGAAACAGTAGATCTGATAAAAAGAATAAACTCTTTCCGGCAAGAGAATCACATGTCCTGATGCTATCAATACACCTCCCCACATGGTAGAGACAGAAGACCTCAACAAGCAATAAGAAATGACTGTTTGATAGATCGAGCAAGTCTTCTTTCTGTCATTGCTTTTCATGGACTTTAAGCTCAAATCAGCCTTTCAAGTAAATGTATTAGAACAGATGGTATCTATTCCTCTACATATTTTCTGTATCATAGATCGATGGCAGTTCTAAAGAGCATATGGTCATGGTGTGGAACAAGTTGCTGAAGACTGGATGAGCCAAGATGATCATAAAGCTATGTAAATTGACATTATTTCCAGTGCAAGAAAATGCAATATATATAAAAGCGAAGAAAAAGAAATGAACACAAGTACAAGCAGAAAGAAACAAGGCGGCAAAATGGAATAATAGAGAAAACGAGATATGGAGAACTTGCAGTATATCCATTGGTTTAGCAGAGCTGATGGGGAACTTGTGACCTAAGAATTGTCACTCTCACCATCAGCAGCACGCTTTGCCAGCCTGCCATCCATGTCAGTTTCCCTTTGGCCAATGCCAATATGCTGAATCTGAGTACTACTTTATGCATCTTGAGTGCTTTCATTGAGAGCCATGTCTAACCTCCAGCCTTCTGCAATCCTCCTTTGGCTAATAGCTACCAACAATGATTGAAGAAGAAGGTGTTGAGATGGATTGAGACATTGGACTCTTGCTAATGAATGTGTCTTCAAGGCTAGATGTTTGTTTCCTTCTGTTTCTCTGTTTTGGAGGAAAATGCTTCCTTGTAATCTTTTTCAGAAGCCCTTTTCTCTCAGTTGTATTTAAACCCTTTTTTCCTTGTTTACAGAGAGAAGTGAGGCCATTGGCCTCTATAAAGACCCCTGAGATGAATTAAGTAGTTTTTATAATGTAAGATTTGTGGAAGATTCAAAGCCCTGGATGAAGAATCCTAATTCAATTATGAATATGGGAGGAAAACCTTTGTCAGATTGTGGTTGGTTTTATATGTTAGTGCTTTATGGAATCTACAGTACCATTACCAAATACTAACTATGGTAGAAATTATTCATTCTAAAAGAAAAGCTTTGTTGCAATTACTATCATCATTTAATTTTAATCTCGTTAGAGATAAACATTACCACCAAAGCAGTACATACATATGCAGCTACTGCAGCAGCATATATGACAAAGCACAAGCATGTTGTTGCATTCCCTACATTAATTTGTGGCATGGCTAATTCTCCTAGCATGTAAACCATGAGTTCACAAATCTCTAGTTTATTCAAATTTGGCTGAAGCAGTAAATGCAATTCTATTTCTTTTATTACTTGAAATAATGTACATACACTAATGATGAAGCATATAAATAAACATATTTGTATCGAAAAATAACAGGGAAAGAGGTGAAATTTCATTACAAAATGAATTTTGCATGAGGCAAAGCTTTACTACTTCTCATGTCAGAAGCCATGGCATTAGTGCGTTCCTTTATGTTCTGAGCTGCAGAATTCGGAGGCCTGTTCAGGTGCTTCCCATTTGACAATGGCTCCTCTGCCTGAACTGGGGCCCTGAATAAATGAGCATTCCCTTTCAGCAAGTCAAATTTAAGGGAGAATAAAGAACACAGCCTAATGATGACTATATGACAGAACAAAGATCCAGTTACGAAGATACCTAGGTTTGACATGTGCTGATGTCCTTGCATTATGCTGAAACTTCTTCAGCTTCTGGCTGCGATCGTTTACGCACTCGAAAAGGGTGTACTCATTTTCTGTTTCAGAAGATTCACTCCTCTTCTTTGCCGGTTCATTCACTCTGCTATTGGTATCAGATGTCTGAAATCCAACCAACTCTTCATTTTTTGCCTTAGGCTTATTCTCGGCATTAATCTTTTGGTTTTCACCATGTCTCACATAAACTGTTGGCTTGAACTTCCTGTCTCCTTGCTCAGGGTTGAGTCTTCTTAAATTGCCAATCTCTTGTGGATCCCAGCATCTGCTTAAACTCTCACTTGTAAGCACTGATGATAAAGTCGCATTGGATCTGTCGACAGATGCTCTCTCCGAAAACTGCAATTTCAATGGTGTCCTCTCATCAAGGGTTTCAATCCTAGTCTTTCTCCTCATGACAGCAGCACGGTCTGTAGATAATGATCTTCTTATGGGCGGTGATGGGGATCTCAGATTTCTGGAATTGCAGCTCTCTCCACCAGTGAAAGGTGATCTTGAATCAATTTCTTTATCTGAAAACATAGAAGATCGAACGGGGTTTCTGCGCTTTACAGATGAGCAGCTTCTCGACTGCACAATGTAAAACCATATTAGCACATATACCTACTGTTTTTTTGTTACCAGGATTAAATATTCAAGTGACTGACTGATACATAATAATAAGCAGATTATAAATTTAGATTTGGAACCCACATGGTCCCCAGGTTTTCTTCCTTTTGAACTTCTGGGATAGTATCCTATTCGCTGTAGGCCATCTTGTTGTGGCTGCTTCATCTTAGCATTTAAGGTAGCTCATTGGAAGGCGCCTAACAGAGTCTTTAAACCCTGTACTTGACTTTATCATAGATACTTCGTATCCTGAGAGGAACTTGGAGTTTCTTCTTGGTTGTGCCAGACAGTTTAAGTTGCTTACATCAGCAAACATTACTTTTAGGCTCTAAAGGATTCTAACATACCTTAACTGAACAAAAGATCAGCATGAAATCTAAGGACTAGCTTCAAGTTGCATAACAACCAGAAAACAATTAGTGTTGTATTTTTCTGATTCACATTTATCTGATATAACATTCAGTCAGTGGTACCAAGATCCAAGTAAACGTTTTCTTCTCTAGTTTAACTCCAAGATTGAAAAATGCTTTTTGATAAAGAGAACTAGTATTACAGTAAACCATATTTTAGAGCATCTTTGATACCCATGTGTAAGCAAATCTGGTAATAGAACTCTGATCAAATATCATGCATTTTATTAAGTCTACCCATATGTTCGTATAATGCTAGCAACGATGTAGCAAGAATGTTGACAAAACTAATCAAGCCCATATAAAACAAATCCTTATCAGCACCGACATCTCAAGGATGACATGATGTGAACTTCACACCTGAACCTTCAAACTTATGATATTTTCTTTTAATCTTTAGATCATGCTTTAAAATGAAAAAAAATAAAGCATGATGAAGTATGAGAAATGTATTTCACTTCTACAAACAATGACTGGTAAGCATACAAAAAATCATCATTATATATGTTTTTTGTTTTTCTAATGTCAATACCAATATTCATGGTTGAAATTTTCTCTTCTATGCAATTGACCACTAAACGCTACTTAAAAATGCCAGGGGAAGTTTTTCTATTACACCGTAGTTATCATCAAGATCCTTCTGTTAGCAAAAATCTGTTTAGCAACTTATTACGACTTACGACAAGCTTAAGCATGAATTCTTGCATTTTTGGCTCTAAAAGTTCTTTAAATGAATTTTTTAGTCAAAATAACTTGAGCAAGACAAGCCTCTATACATTACATAAAGGCCCTTGTCAGCATGCATGAGATCTGCTTTTGCTTTCATGCAGGGTAATAATCAAAAAGCATCTCGCAAATATCTCTTAAACTTGGAAATTTTCTAGTGATTCGAAATAATGTTGTTTTATAAATTGTATTGATTTTTAATGCATAGAAAAACAGGACAACCAATTCCTAAATTAGGTAGCACTGACCATTTAAGAACATTATTCTTAAACAATGTTGTCAAAGGATTTTGTCATTTACCTCATGTTTTCTTGATTTGCCCATTGTCTGTTGGCTAAGTTCAGGTTTCTTCATGATCAGCTCAGATGGTGATCTAATTCCTGTCTTTTGCTCCTCAAAGGCAATCTGACGAGTTAAAATTTTCAATTGCTTTACTTCAGACTCCTTACTTTCAAGCGCTGTCCTCATTCTAGAGATCTAGACAATATAAAAACTGATCAACATTTCCATTACTAAAAAGATGGTTGTTAACTTCAAAGTGGCCAAAAAAAGGGCAAAACCTCTTCTTTGAGTTCTATAACTTGACCAGCTTCCTTGTTAACCTGAGCTGCTCCAAGCTCTATCGAGGCAACACGTTCAGCAAACTTGAGTGTGCTAATTGTTTCTCCAAATGCATTAGCCTCGGGGTTTAAATGAACAAACATCAAGGTCTTGGCTTGCCCACCTGCATGGCAATTCAACAAAAATGAATCAATTTCTGAGTAATTCTAACAACATTCTTATGCTTTCCTTATCTTAAAATTATCTTTCTTCTTTAAATGCAGTTTTCTACCACCTGGCATTTGCAGGAACCTTGCTAACTTAAAGTTCAATTTCTTACTCAACTTGTAAAAATGATGTTCCTTCCTAAGTTTGTTTAGTATAAGGATATGAAGTTTTGTATTAATTCACAATATAGAATCCTTAGTGCAACTATACCATGCTTACTAAAGAAAGGACAATAAAACATCACAACTTGATACATCTCTGGAAAGAGAATATTCGACTAGCTCACTAGACTTAAAATCACAGAAACTTTGTAAACTAGTTGACTATTGATAGACCTTGTCAGTTAACTAGTTATATCCATGTGTTTAAGAAAAAAATTCTGGTTATCTATAACCACTTTTTATAGAACTCAAAATAGAAAAATGAAGTAAAATATGCAAAAGAAAATAATATGGGATTCTACAAGTTTTAAGTACCTAAAGAATCCTGCAGTACTTGTGTAAGTTTGCTATTTCTGTATGGAATGTGGGAACTTTTCTGTGCAAGTGCTGAGATAACATCTCCAAGTGCTGACAGTGATCTGTTTATGTGTTGAGCTTCCTTTAATCTATCTCCAGTAGCTTCAGACTTATCAACCCTTTCACTTCCAGCAAGATCAACCAGGTGAAGACAACCTCTTAGCTTTGAACCAGAAGCTAATTCTTTCCCTTGGACATGAATCGTCAAAACACTAGAGAAAAATAGAAAATCCAGTACAACGAATGAGCATCCACGACAGAAGAGAGTAAACTTGAAATTAATAGAAGATGCATTCTACGAATTAACAAAGAAGTAAAATGTTACAAGTCACATGTGACCAAGTTATCAGTTTCATTTTCAGCACTAACTACATTCCAGCACAATACATTACAGGTGACTTGTGATTGTACCTGACAATGCCGTAGCAGCAATCCTGAAGCTGGTGT